TTGTAAAACATGCAAAATTTATCATAGGTTATACCAACTGTTCAATAAATACGTTTCATTATTCATAGGAATATTTGGAGCATTACTCGTATCTCTTTAGTGATAGTGCTCTAGCTCGAGAAGAAAACCGTTACGGACCCATGTTCTTATGAACATTTAGTCTTCAAATTGATCAAGGATTCGATGGTTAAAGTTTGTCTACATACTTTATTAACAGCTTGTATAAATGTGAAAGTCTGTTCAGCCTGTCAAGACAATACGTATAATTTTATACACTTACTAAATGATACCCAAGGATGACTATACGATAGGCATGCTTTTATCCGCGTACTCATCGTATATTTTGTAATCAACTGGTGCGACTGATACCAAAGCCTCCACTGTCAGCGTCAAGCCGGCAACACGGCGGCCTCTTATCGCTCATCGTCAAGGGATACAAAACTTTTATTTTGCACTAGCTGTTACTTCGTACGTAACTGGTACTAACATAAGACATTGTTTTTAAGTATTGCTACGAGTATAAACTTCAGATCACGTTTTTCACTCTGGTAAAAGAGCGGGACAGAGAACTTGTTATTTAGATATTATATCGCTTTAAATAAATATACTGAATAACATAGAAAATGCAACGCAGACTTGGAGTGCTGTAATTTTGAGCATACTTGTACAAGTTTTGTGTGAAACTCCTCTGTTCGCTACACATTCTTCAAGTCATCGTGGCATTGATTGGATTACGCGATTGATGTCTTCTTGGTGCGTATTGTATACAGGCCATCTGAATTTACATGTTCGATGGGGGAAAGGTCTGGGGATCGAGGAGGCTACTGAAGCAGATTTATTTCGGACGCATCTAAAAAGTCTAAACAAACACGTGCGACGTGAGTTGTGCATTGCTATGTTGCCAAAAAGCGAAGTAGATGTGGTTGTAAAACTTCGTGGATATAGCGCAAGGCGGTCATGCTACCTCGAATGAATACTAATCGTGACCTGCTGCCGTAATTAATGGTACTCCATACCATAACACCCACAGTGCGATGAATATGCCGTCATGTGTGTCCAAACAGAATTTGGACTCATCGCTGAACACGACGGAGTTCCATTCCATATTTCATTCAAGTCTCTCCCTACTCCATACCAATCGTTGCTGACAGTGCTTTGGGGTCAGAGGTAGTACAAGATGGGGACGGTATGAAAACAGTCCAAACGACCTTGTTGGGCGATAAACTGTACTCATTGTTATTGTCCTTCCGCCAGCATCTGGTTCCCAACTGCCCTTGTTGTGGAAAATCGATCTCTACGTGCTAGTTGTCTCAAATAAGGATCCTGTCGCTGTGTAGTCTGTCTTTGACGCCGAGTGCCTCTAACTCGTCGATTGCGGCCTTCTTGGAACCTCGCTCGACAACATCTCATTACAGTAGCTTTTTTTAGATTCACCTGATTAGTGATTTCTCTAAAATAAAATCCGGCTTCACTTATCTCGATTATCCGACCCCTCTCAAACTCGGGAAGTTGAGTGAAATTATCGCACCTGCGAACTCTAGGCATGATAATACAATGAAACAACAATGAAACAAATGTTCATATTGTTCGGATCCTGGTATGACACAAAAAGGCCGTTACAAAAAGAAGTACGGCTCGAAATGCCTTCAACATTTTATCAGCGTACTTATACTTCCATAATAGCAAAAATGTTTACAATTTTTTATCAAAATTCAATAAATAACTCTGGCTGTTGCATTTTATATGCCACTTATCATATATTCCACAATTATTGGGAAGAAGACTAATATGGTGGGATATTGTCTTTCAAGAAGACATTCGCTTTCAATTTTTAGTACAATACTGTATGAACTGGCCTAATGGTTTTGAGCAAATTGAGCTAGGCATGAAATTGAGTAGCGTAGCATATTGGAGACTTATTGGGAATGACAAAAAGCCGATGTAATCACCATCGGCAAGCTGGAAAAGTGTTTTTATGGGTGGTTCAGACTAGAAGGGAATAAATTCAGTCACCGTGGCGTCGCGGCCTCGAAGGAGGTAGAGTCATAAAAACGCCTAGCACGTTCTCCGCAAATGGGCCACTTTACCAAGGAACATTTCCATTTTATGGGCTCGGCTGGAAGATATCGCCTCTACATGATAAATATTATACCGGCGTATTTAGACTTGCATCACGGATAAACAGAATGGCGAATAGAATATGATACTATTCTGGAAATTTCCTGTTCGGAAGAAAGAAAAAACAACAACAATCGGGGGTGTACGAAACACATCAACAGCGTTCAGAGTCACCATGTAAAACGAAGCTTAGTTCCCAGATCTCTACCAGAATACTGTTGTGGTTTATACGCTGATGACACTGATGTTATAACTACACCGTAAACATTGCTAGCAAAGTTATATTATAATTATTATAGGAATTTAACATTTCCACGGATTGTGGGTGAACTGCCCGGACCTTTCATAATGAATAAAGCGGACTGTTCGTCATAATTTCAGAAACTTCATCCAAACATGTTTGTTGTTTACAAAACTTTTAATGAGGTTGACCTAGATGTTGCCATAACAACTTAGCAAACGTAAGTATATAAAAATTGAGGAATGGCATACAGTGTGCCACCACACTCAAATGTAATACACTCATACAATGAAACTAATTGTTTTGATATTTCTCATTAGTATGCTTAATAACTGTAATATTGTATTTCATTAGGGTATCAAACATATTTGATTAATAAGCAAACCTTAACTGCCACGCAAGTACAACATTATCAATGTTACCAAGTAACATCCACTAAGAATGTTATTATCAATAATTTGATCGTCATGGTATTTTTTTGTAAGAAGTTTACCTCTTAGGAAGTATGCTGTACATTTGTTGTTGTTGTTGTTGTTGCTTTTAGCAAAAATGCGCTCTTTTTGTGACCCTTAAGTATTTTTAAACTTGCCTTTTTTCATTGATTTAGAAATCCTAAAAACAGCTTTTCAATATAGTGTTCAATATAGATTTTGACAGCAAAGCGTATTTGGTAACATTTGCCATAAATATTTCTTTTTTATAGGCGTTTTTAAGCTACCATTTCAGAGGAACAGTCAAGTAGAATAAAGTCATGTTTTCGATCATTGTGCAATTATGAAGAATCGTGAAACTTAATATGAAATTTCAAAATTGTACCCCAAATATGAAAGCTTCATATGTATATTAAACACCCTTAAAGTCACGGTTACAACTCTTGTTTCTGAACGGAAAGTAGAACATCGCCTTATTGTCTAATCAACAGTGTTCCAGATCTAACGCAGAAATCTTCAGCAACACATTTCAAGCTAATAGTCTGAGATCTGAAATAGAAACGACCTTCGCCAATCTAATTGACGGATGAAAAGTATTTCATATCAAAATTAATATGTTAAAAAATATATAGTTTTTAGCATAATTATGACACATGGAAAAAATCTTGTAGACGTGAAAAAAAACAGAAAAAAATGTCTTACAGAGGTCATATAGCTAGGTGTTATAACATGTTCTCCAAAGGATTACAGAAAATAAGCTCACTTGGACTATTTAAGAAGAAAGTAAAACATTGAATAATGAATTTTACCAAGGACTTACACACCAAATTATTGATATGAAAAATAATTTAAAACACGGTAAACAAAAAAAATATACTAGGCAATATTTCCGAACATTTAACTTTCACCCAAATTGAGACAGATACTTGAGTAAACAAAAAGAAACAGACTGGGCAATATTCCCATAAATGCCATTTTGACAGGAATTTTGTAATTTTTTTTCACCCGCGCACGCCTTTGTGGATTCGTCATTTATTTGTCCTCGATTCAAAAGATGTATGAGGATTGTGTATGTATATTTTGAAGAAAAATTAATATTACTATTATATCGCAAGTGCGCTGGCTAAAAAGCTCCACGATTAATTAAAAATTGAAAAATTACATGTTTTTCAACAAAACAGTAATATAACACTGTGTATAGTGCGGTAGGCCACACTTTGGGTTCTTATGTCTACGATCGATTCGTTGTGATAAAATAATGGACAAAAAGTATTTTCGTGAGACTCAGACGATTTCTTGATTGATTTTAACGATGAAACCTCCAGAAACCATTCACTGAAGTTAGCTGTTCGTAAAAAAGAGAACTAACTCCAAGTACAATGAAGTTGAGCTAAGTAAAGCATCATTCGATTTTGTTTGTTATCATACCACTTGTTATAAAAAAGTGACTACTTTGGAAATAGATACAATGAAGAATTTAGAATTTGCTGTAATAATATTATGATAGATGATAAACGAGTATAATGGTATAATTTTATTTGGTTAATCATAGCCTCTCCAGGAGTTTTTTAGACAACCCAGTGGCGATATATTTTTTCACATACAATCTGATATAGAATACTTTTCATACATTAAACAGATGGGTGAAGGGCTTTTCTATTTCGAATTTTCAACTAAACGAGTAAGTAAGTGGTGTGCACCACTTTTGACTCTAAATCATGTGAAAAACAAAAATAAATCACAACGTAGCAGATATTCAAAATAATCGTTCTTGATATTTCCGATTGACTAATATGTTGTTTAATATGGACGCATAGTAATTTTAGTATTTTGTCCTACAATGTAGTTACACATATCAACTAATTTTAATCTCTATATGAAAAAGCAAATTTTGCTATCAAGTTATCTGGTCCGGGTAGCACTTCGAAACAAACATGTTGGAACGTCGTCAATTCCAGTCGTCTCTGGATCCTCGTTCCGAGCAATCTAGGATTGCATTCTAGCTTGTATCGTAAAAAATGTAATAAACTTGTAAATAGAACGGATTTCATTGTAGCTAGGTCGCGAAATAACTTGCAGGACCATAAAATAAATAGTTCAGGGCTACTGACGATATACTCGTATAGGGTCCGACAACACAATCGTATTTAATCACACAAAGTTTTCACAATGAGGAATATACAATATTTTTGTTTTGGCTTCAAGTATAGGTGTAATGGAGAAACCTGGCGAGTAGTCCTAGCTGTTTCAGAAAGTGCCAGCATCATGGAGGAATCACACAGAAACAAAGCAATTGAATTATTGATGACAAATCGCTAGTCATAAACAAAGCCACAGTGAGTAATAATAAGTTATATTTAGTCAGGGCGAAGCTTTGCTCATCGCTATTCTGCCTCTTAACCGTTAACAAAGTAACATAAGTAGTAATAATGTATTTATGATATAACTATGCTTCAAAAGGGGCTATACAGTTTGTATGTTCATAATTTAGACATACGAGGTTACGCGAGTTTTATAATTTGTTGTTCAAAAATGATACTTCTAACTTGTCTTTTGAAATCAGTTCAGAAGCCATGAAAGCAATGGTTTGCATTATTTAGTATAATGGCATCATAAGTAAAGCATATATGGACGAATGATGTCCTGAGAGTAGGCATAATTATTGACAAAATGTCTATTTTTGAATGTGTAACCAACGGAATATACGCCTGTCTTTTGAAAATGGGAGAACTCAAATATTTTTGTTATATTTATCCTATTCAATTGTTCAAAATGAGAGCAAATGTGATCATATTTCCGTAAGTTATACGCCATGATGCATCAGGAATTTTGTATTTTTTTCACAAGTATATGAAGGGAAATACTATGTCACAGCAATTTTCGACATTATCATGGAATCAGTTTATATAGCTTTGACTTAAAGGTTTAGCTTATAGCGGTACTATGGCATTTCGGCTACGGATTCGCAGATGCTCCAATACAAGAACATTTATGATAATATTATATATACTTACCATTCTCAGCACCATAATATATAAGTAATATGAGGCAGTTGTTACCTGTAACAAACAAAAGTTTTAATTAATATTAAATGATATTTTTATGGTTAATATATATATAATAATTAATAATGTGTTCCTTGTATTTGCTCTTGAAAATAAATTTAAAGCATGCACAGTGGCGTGAATATTCCACTACTTCCGATGCTACAATTTATCACCATCATTATAACTACGCACATGTCGTTGGAGCAGTAGCTACTAAAAAAGTTGAACTGTAACACCCCAGTTAAAAACAAACAAAAAAAATATATATTTCTACATAGGATGTTAGAAAATGCGAAATGTGAAGAATTAAACCTCATATAATACCGAGCGTTGCCAAAACGTGGGTCAAACGTGCAAAGGGTGATTCTATGAACTATTGTTAGGTCATTTTGTCAACTGACATTTTCGAAATACCGTTTCGTTTCGGAGATACAGGCCCTTAAAGACGCCACTTTGAATAACCTTTGATCAACACTAATCCAACGGAATTTGGACATCAAGTAATATGTTTGAAAAGACCGATCCTTTATCAGAAAAAAAACGGTCTTGTTTGAATCCAGTACCTGTTATACAGTGCAATCAATACTCCAAAATTATACAAAAGCCTGAAACTTGGTAAAGTGACCTGTGATTTGTAAACAGAGGATTTTCTGGTCGCTGGTTACGAATCTGTTATCAAAATTAGTATATTTTCAAAATGGTGGAACCATTCGGTATCATAACCAATAAAACAGTACTGAAATAAGACTGATTACTTCTTTAGTTCCCAACACATCTTTTCAGATAAAAAATCAAGATTTAGGAAAATAACATTTATGCCATTATTTCAGGGTGTAACAAATGCTCACACAATTAAAATTTGCGTATTTTGCATGCTTTTGTGTAGCTTTGGCACTTCCCTCAGTGAGAAAATTTGCTATCCCCCACCCTCCCCCGCACCTCAAAAAGTTTTGTCAGCAGGTACGCTTTCACACAAAGTTATCTATTGCCGATGAATTAAAGCTCCCTCTGAGGAAAATCTCTGCGGACACAGACGAACACTGCTATGACTAATATTGCGTGGATGGCGAACCACGTCAGTAGAGCAGCGACTGCCGACTGCGAGACGCTTTCATAGGTCAAACTACGAGGTACTTATTTTATATCCAGACACATAACAGTTGGAAATATTTCTCAATCAAGTTTAAGGGTAAATGTACAGACAATTCTTTAAGGAGTGAAATAACATATATTTAATATGTGCGTAGAAGTACTGGGATAGCTCGTCTCTGATAATTAGAACTGCGTTATTCATTTATATCATCTTGTAAGGCCTTGATTAGTTACTATGTTGTTAAAATTTTGTTGGATACAGTGTTGTTTAAAAGTTGAACAGGAAAAACCGATTTTTAGTGGCGTTCTTTAGGGGCCTCTGTCTCTATGACGGAGCGGTATTTCAAAAATGCTCTGGATTCATACATATTTTCATCATTCTGTTTCATATAACCAGCATATTGTAGCCTACAATCCGTACGATCCGCTGACGTAATACATATTCTGTCAACGTGGAGTAACTGGCAGATCTCTCACTGAAAACCCACTATGCACGCTCTGGACATTTGATGAAAATGAGATGAATTATATCAATACTACAAATCAAAATAGCCTAGAAATAAATCACAGGAGTGAAATTGGTAAGAGTTTCAAACGATAGTTATTACGACTACAAATAGCATGATATTATCAAACAGCAAGTGGCTCGTGCTATTTAATAATAATCTATCAAAATGCCTCATTTCACTGGGCTACCTACAATCGTCCCGAATCTAATATAGAAGAGGATTCCCTTAATAATAGAGCCTGTAAATTTTTGTAATGTGCACGTTCAGAGTCGGTAAATGGAAAAGGATGAAATAGAATGTCTTTTAATTTGGAAGTTTTGTCGAAATTATGGGATTTTAGCATTATTGCCTGGATATTTTCCTGAGAAGAGGGATATAGGACAAGGACTCTATAAAACTTTTATGCGCGTTGATTTCCAGAGGGAAGCTTAAACTTGATATTTTACCGAGAGAACATTTGATTGGAGATGGGATTTTGAAAATGAGATGCGTGAGAGTTGAAAAGGTAGAAAGAATCAGAGAATAAAAGTGATGTAGACAGACAGAAGAACAGAAGACGTACTCACTATTCTAAAAAAATGTGGCCAAATGCAAAGCAATCAAAGTCCTAATTCTTTCTCAACCACTGTATTGATAATTTAAAAAAAAATTATCTGTACACTCATTAATTTACAAACTGTTTGAGGTAAATTTGTTCCAAATTCTTTTTGCTCTACTTATCTAATAAATATAATAACTTAATTTACACGTCTTATTTATGGTACAGTCAAAAGCTTCAGACATTGGACTTTGTACTGTTCTTATTAAAATCGCTGTAAATGTAAGACTCGTACTACATGTGTAAAGCTTCATGTGCTCTTGACTTGACCTACAATTCATACTTTCTCGTTCTACGTACTACGATTAAAACTTAAACAGCATCACTGAAGCTTGGATTCCCTTTTGTCTCATATAAATATTTGCTTTGTTTCTTTTTTTGGAATAAAGACGTTATTATGATAGTTGATGGTCCATAGTACGAAAAATAATTTATTTCTAGGCTTTTTATTGAACAGTCAGAGTATATTTTAACTCGTTAACCATATATGGGTTAGGAAAGTACCCTTGATGTCTTACGCCCTTCCTCTAGTAGTTCCACACACTTAGCGGAGCGATTTTGCGAAGGCCCGCGACTAACGACGTGGAGGAGGTTAATTATAGGCTGAAACCACCGCTTCGGTGGTTTTGTGGATTGCATAGAAGATCTACACACCAAAGGAGAAAGTCATTGCCAGCAGATTATCTAGACTGGAATAAATGTAAATGCTTTACTCGTATTATCTAGCAGACTCTGTGTGTTATATGTATACGGTTGCATGGTGAATGTTACATTTCCAAAAAACGTTGCATGCATTTTTCAGCCGACTGAGGTTGAGGTCAAGTTTCAGGATATGATATTGAAACATTTCAGCACTCGTCCCCTACTTAACCTTCGACTTCAGAGTGAAGAAGTAGTTCCCCGTATTCACAGTCAATTTCATCGGCCAAGGTTTTGAATATTCTTCTTTGTAACGCTTGAGTTCTAATTTTGTTTTTATTACCAATTTCATATGGTTGTTTAGTTTTAGAAAATGTCCACAAAATGCTTGCTGGTGGATAATGCAGTGGTAACAGAGAAATTGCGGAAAACTTTCATCTTTACAACATAACCCCACGAGACCCTTATCATCTTCCACCATAGCTGGAGCGCCATCGGTTGGAATTTTCTCAGAAGAAATAATATTTTTAAAAGAAGAAAACAAGTCCTTTCCAGTAGACTGGGCTTTCAGTGGAATAAAGTTCAAAAGATCTTCTTTAATCGTAAAATCACAAAAAAACATTTTGACGAACACTGCTATCTGAGAGGTGTACCACGACATTTATGGATTCATCCAGCTGCAGTCAAAAATAAGCACAGTCATCGAAGTCATTTCTTAACTCTAAAACTATATCATTGCTTATTACTTCTACTCATCTCATCACTGTATTAGCAGAAAGTTGCATAGATTTTATAGTAGACACTATCTCGTCTTTATTTCTAATGTTGGCAAACAATGAATCTACAGCTTCTAAAAACGCTTGATTTATCATAAGGTTTCTTCTTTTGTATAATTATCTGGGACACCCAGTATGGTGCTTCAGTTGCAGCCTTACTTTTGTCGATTGTATTTAAAAACATTGTCAATTAACTGATTTTTTAATTGTTTCGGCTTTTTCGTTCCGGTTGCAGAACGTAATGGGAATGATTTTTCAAAATTCGAATGTAAAGTTTTATAGTGCCTCTCGATATTCTCTTTTTTTTAGCAACGGAAACGGATGTTTTACATAACAAACATACTATTTTGCATTTAACTTCTGTAAAGAAATATTGTTCTTCCCATTCGGAATGGAAATGGTATGTCTTCATCTTCTTACTGCTCATAATGTTTTTAATTGCAGGCCAACTCTAACCCAACCGCTGGACTTTGAGCCGTTCAGTTTTAAACTGAGCGCACTGTCGCCGCGCCTTGCGCATTTATTCCGTTCAAAGTAATCGAGATCGATCTCGAACAGATCGCTCACCGCAGTGTTGCCACGGCTTGTGTTTATTATGAGAATTTACAAAATTTACGGAAGCTTCTATGATTTTACATCTTTTTGAAATATGTTGTGAGCCACCAGAATTGCCTTT